TTGAGCTCCTTGTAGACTTTTGGACTTTGGGCCTCATTTCCTTGGCGACTGTTGCCTGGAGCCTGCCCTCAGCTCCTTGTCACATAGGCCTCTATATATGGCAGCTTGCATCCTCAGATCCAGCAAGGGAGTCTGCTAGCAAGACAGAAGTTACAGTCTAATGTTACCTAATCATGGAAGTGATATCCACCACCTTTGCCATATTCTGTTTATTAGAAGCAAGTCACAGGTCCTGCCCATGCTCAGGGGCAGGGGACTATATACAAGGGCATGGATTCCAGGAGGCTGAGGTCGTGGGAGTCATCTTAGAGTCTGCTTGCCGTAAGATGTTTCCGCCACAAGCCTTTACTTCTTCAACAAGATGTGTGCGCTTTCCTTTCTGTGACTCTTCTTTATGTCTAATGTTGTTGTTGTTTACATTTCATGACTGGTAGTCTTATGGTTGAATATTGTTTATCTCCCTCATTTAACTGTGTTTGCTAGTCTTTAATCCACTTGTAAACCTCCACAACAGTATTTAGCAAATGTACTGCAGAAGACTCCCCTTCCTTCCTCCTAAAGAAGGACCGGATCAGTCGCTCTACTGTTTAATACTTGAGCCCTTTTTCTCCACAGTAACCTTAAAGGATCTATTATAAAATCTTGAGATTCGCTAATTTGGCATCAAAAGCAATGAATCAGACATGTCTACATAACCTGGCTGGAGTGATCTGCCTTAGCCTGATTTGCATTCAGAGCGAGAGCTTGTTACCTTATTAAGGAGAAGCAGTTCTCCATCAGAGATGCTTCAAACATTAGCTGTTTTTGAGTGGAGCATTGTTCTGTTTTCTTGGGGGCCTGATGGAACCCAGAAATGATGTACTCTATAAAAATCAACTTATTCCTCTTCTTTAAACTCTCTGGTTTCTTTTGTCTTGGGATGATCACTTTATGGGCCTCCTATTTTTAGATCACAGCAAATGGATTGAAAAAGAGGACTGGCTCTTGGGGAAGCAGCATTGTAATTCTTTTCCTTTTGCTTAAGAAATGGGCCAGATCTCATTGTCCCTGCTGGTGATGTCCGATGGGGTGAATGTCAAATGTGCTGTAAGAGGCTTGGATGAGAGACTTATATGTTTGACGTATGTAGGCTCACAGACTTAAAGCCTAGCCAGAGGCATCGAGTCTAGCTCCCCATGCTGTAAGGCCAATCTCTACTTAATCCTCCACGATAGCTTATCACCTGTTCCATTTTTTGAATCGTTGATAGGTATTTTTTAGAAGGCAGGTAAAGAAACACCAATCTGGTTTTAGTAAACTCTGTGTTTCTGGTGTTGAAATGATCACAGTAAGATGGTGAAGCTTGGCCCCTTTAAGAAAAACTCAGTCGGAAGTCACCTTAAAACTTGGAGGAACCATTCATCTGTTGAAAAAGATGCAGACTTAGTAACTGAAAGCCAGCTGTAGAGGGAAGCACAGAAGTGTGTTATGTGCCTCCATTTTCGGTCTTTGGGGAGCCATGAGGTTGAAAGCCAATTAAAGCTTTAATAGAGAGAAATTTAAAAGTGGTTTCTCCTGGGCAAGAGAAAGATTTGGAGCAGAGAGTGCTTGGAGAAAACAGGAGGTGTTGAAGGTGTAATTAGTACAGTTAGCAGCTGGGGATGGGAATTAGTGCAAAGTCCCGTCTGAGAAAGGACACAGGTTTGGGCCCCAAAGCTGTGGCTCAGCGCGTGCTCAGGCCCCTGAGGCCCCGGCGTGGTCAGCCTTACGGGGAGTCTGAGCAAATCCTGCCACTGTGAGCGCCTACCTCCTTCATTGTCATCAGTCCGTAAATTAGAACAGGGCTGGAAAATCAGGTAATGAGGGATTGTTTTTTTCTCTTAATGCTTGGGTATTAGCTTCCTTTTAGTTCCGTTTATTCAGCCTGTTACTCGTTATGTTGAGGCCTTCTTTCGCCTGCTTCTGCCCATCTGTCTACTCTCAGATCATGTTTTCATCTAATTGATATTCCCAACCTCTACCCCAGGGTCTAGAATCATAGCCCCAGCTTACAAAGACGACTTCATCATACTTATATCCCACTGTCATCCCAAACTCAACATGTGTCCAAAACAGAAATGACAGCTCTCTCAGTATGTATCATCCAGGCAAATCTCTCTCAGAAATCCTGTTTTCTTTTCCATCCCCACTTCCATCAGAGAAACAATGAAGCTGGCGTTTCTTTGTCCTCCTGTCTGAGGTTAATCCCTTCCCCTTGGTCTCTGAATCCCATCCCTTCCTGCTCAGGGACCCCTCCCTTTTATAATTGTGCCCACTGCAACCACACCTTCTTACTGGCTCCTTCCCATCAGCAATTAATCATGTCCAAGCTTCCCTTATCTTAAAAAAATAAAGTGTCCTGATTGCTCTCACCCGCTCCGGTATCCACCCTGCCTTGCCCCTCTCCCTCACAGCCAGACTTCCTGACACTGTTCTGCACCCTCACCCCACAGCCCCCTCCCACTCAGTTTCCATGCACAAGGTTCTTCTGACTTCATACTGTTGCTTTTATCAAAGTCCGTCTCCCCTCAGTCACCTCTGAGCTTGTCACTGAGGCTGCACTGCTGACCAGCTCTCCCTATTGAAATGCGTGCTGGCTTTGGCTTCGGTGAGCCCCACGCCAGCCTGCTTTTTCTCCTGCCTCTTGGACCGCACCGCAGTTTCCTCTGCAGGCTTTTCTGCTTTTGCATTTCTCTCCTGGTGGTGTTTGTCACTGTTCTGTCTTAGGAGCTCTTCCCTTCTGAGCAATCCCTGAGGGAGCCAGCCCACACATTCATTTGCTCTTTGTACGCATCCAGTCCAGACCTTTCTCTTAAGCACCAGCTGTAACATCTAACAGCTGAAACTCAGTGAGTCTTACATCTTCCGGCGCTCGCCGGAAGACGCCCTTCCTTGGTGGTTCATTGTTCATGGTCTGTAGTGTGCGTTAGAGTCACCTGGCCAAAACCAAACCAGAGCCCTGGTGGCACAGTGGTTAAGAGCTCAGCTGCTAACCAAAAGGTCGGCAGTTCGAATCCACCAGCTGCTTCTTGGAAACCCCCATGGGGGCTTGTTAGAACCTAGAGTGCTGGGCCCCACCCCCAGAGATTTTGAGTCAGTAGGTCTTGGATGGGGCCTGAGAATGTGCATTTTTCTGTAAGTTCCCAGGTGGTGCTGCTGGTCAGGGAAGCATATTTTGAGAACCTCTGTTATAAGGAAATTTAACAGTCTTCTCTACTCCTTCTTGTTGTTGTGTGCTGTGGAGTTGATTCTGACTCCTAGCAACACCATAGGACAGAGTTGAACTGTCCCATTAGGTTTCCTAGGCTGTAATCTTTATGAGCAGATCACCATGTCTTTTTCCCGCAGAGCTGCTAGTAAGTTCTAACTGCTGACCTTTCGCTTAACCACTGTGCTACCAGGGCTCCTTACTCTCCCGTATACATCCCCCAACCCCAAATCCCCACTAGCATCTAAGTAATCATGTCAGTTTGCCTTTTTAAATATCTCTGTATCCAGGACTGTCCATCCCCTTGGCCGTTACTCTGATTTACTGTAGGAACCCACTGACTGGTCTTCCTGCCTCCAGGATCACTTCTCCTAAATCTGTTTCTCAGACAGCAGCCAGTGCAAGCTTCTTAATGTATGAATCTGCATTCTTCTATAGCTCTCCATTAACTTTTGGGATAAATCCAGACTCCTTAGTGTTGAGCCAGCCTCTGGCTAGCTGTATAGCACCATTTCTTGTCCCTCCATGAAGCAGTGGTGGTTCAGTGGTAATATTCTCACCTCTCATACAGGAGACCTGGGTTTGATTCCTGACCAATGCATCTCACGCTTAGTAGAGGCTTATGTGTTGCTATGATACTGTATAGGTTTCAGTGGCGCTACTAGACTAAGGCAGACTAGGAAGAAAGGCCTGGCAGGCTACTTCTGAAAATCAGCCAGTGCAAGTCCTGTGGATCACAGCGATCTTATCTGCATCTGGTTATGGGGATGGTGCAGGACTGGGCAGCATTTTGTTCCATTGTGTGTGGGGTCACTGTGAGTTGAGGGGCCAGCTTGACGGCAGCTGACAACGGCAACAACTTGTCCCTCCTTACTTCACACAGCATACATCAGGTGTACAGAAAAGTGTGTGCAATTTAAATATATAGGGATTATTGAGTGTTTACTGTGTTCCAGCCACTGTAGCACATTTATGCATATTAATTTTATTGAATCATCCCATTAACCCTGTAAGGTGGGTTGCATTTTCCAGATGAGGCAGTGTGACCCAGCCTATAATGTTGCCAACATCCTGCACACCAGTCCTGTCCAATCAGTTGTAATGACCCTGTCCAGGGTAATAAGGGACACTCACTTAAAACTCAGTGCAAGAGCTAATAATAATCAGAACGTGAACAGTGTCTAACCATTGTGGTTAATATACTTTGTACCAGAGCATCATATGTAAACACATAACTCATGTAAATATTCCTTGACATACAAAAGAGGAAATCTAGCAAACAGAAGTAACTTGTTCAAGGCCACATAATTCAGGGATGCAGGACCTAGATTTGAATTTAGGTCTTGTGACTCCAAAGCTCATGCTTTTAACTTCCCTGTCATCCCTATAAGGAGCCCTGGTGGCGCAATGGTTAAGTGCTTAGCTGCTAACCAAAAGATCGGCAGTTTGAACCCACCCAGCGGTTCCGTGGGAAGAAGACCTGGCAATCTGCTTCCATAAAGATTTCAGCCTAGGAAACCCTAAGGAACAGTTCTACTCTGTCATACGGGGTTTCTGTGACTTGACGGCACCTAACATTAACAACAACATCGTCCCTATGGGAAGAAGCAATTAAATTATATAAAGAGAGCTGTTGATTATTTGACAGTTTCTAAAATTTAAAGTCCTTCAATGTTTGTCTATTAACCAAATTAGAGGATTTTTGGCAACACCCCACCTTCATTAAAACCCACCCACATGCACCCATCTTTCTTCCAGATCCCATCATGCTGTGGTGGAAGGAGCTTGGACGTGGAGTCAGACTGGCTTCTGACACCCCTCTGCTACCACCTCCTTGGATGAACCCTGGAATAAGTTATTTTACCTCCTTGAACTGCTGATTGCTCTTCCCTGAAACTCAGGATAATACTACTTCCCTCATGGGATTGCTGAGAAGAATCAATGTGAGAGTACCTGCCTCCTCTCTCCATCCCTTGTGCTGCTGTCAGTATTAGTTAAGTGTAAGCAGTCAGCATCAGGCACTATTGTGTAACTTCCTTACTGTCTTTCTGCTTGTGTTTCCTGCAGAGATTGCCACCGCCTTCCTCTATACCCTCACCTCTATCATTGCCCCCCATCTATGCGCTACACTGCCACCTGAAAAATATTCCTAAAATACAAATCCTAGAGACTTCTTGTTAATAGTAATGGTGGTCTAGATTATCCAGACCAGCCCTCTCACTGAAACAACTAAAAAATCTATATAAAATGTAAGAAATATTTTCTTAAAGCGTCAGAGAGCTAATGGGCATTACCAGCTTAAAACTGGAATCAAGAACTAAGAGGGCATTGCAGATTTGACTAGTGAGAATGGGGGACAGAAATCATAGCCCAGATTTCTCAAAAGAAATTGGGACCTCAAAGGGCTACACTATCAGGGTGAGGGTAAACCTGAAACATACCAGCTTTCACATAGAATTGCAGCCCAGGTTCAAGCTGATCATGTCAACCAAAGAATCTAGAGTCTTGAATTGGTTTAAAGAGTGGTTGTGCCTCTGGGCATCCAGCAAGATCAAGTGGAAATTCTTTTAAAAGGAAGATTTCTTCAACCTAGGCCTCAAATTATTCAGTGACCAGTACGTAAATGTAACCAGGCACTCAAGAATACCAGACTCCAAGGACAAGAACCATCAGAAACCACAAACAACAGAAACAGACCTGCAAAAATGTCATCAGATGTTAGAATCATCACAGTCTAAAAAACTACTCTGCTTCCTGTGTTTAAAGAAGTAAGTTTGAAGATAGCTGCAAAGAATAGGAAGCTATGAAAAGTGACATAGCAAATTGGAAAAGGAACCAAGTAAAGCTTCTGGAAACACACATTACAGCATGAAATTGCAAACTCAGTGGATGAGGAAAAATATATATTGAAGTAGATAGTTTGAAGAAGAAAAATTAGTGGATGGGTTTAATAGCAGATTGGATAAAGCTGAAGAGAAAATTAGCAAACTAGAAGACAGATAAGAAAAAACTATCCAGAATATAGCACAGGGGAACAGAGACAGAAAATACAGAGGAGAAGCCAAGAGATCTAGAGAATAGACTACCAAAAACCAAACAAACCCATTGCTGTCAAGTCAATTTGGACTCACAGCAACCTTATAGGACAGAGTAGAACTGCCTCATAGGGTTTCCAAGGAGCAGCTGGTGGATTCAAACTGCCAACCTTTTGGTTAGCAACCGAGCTTTTAACCACCGCATCACTAGGGCTACGGGGAACATAATAAAGCCAAGAAAACCAAACCTGTTGCTGTCGAGTCGATTTGGACCCATAGAGATCCTTGAGGACAGAGTAGAACTGCCCTATAGGGTTTCCAAGGAGCTGCTGGTAGATTTGAACGCTGACCTTTTGGTTAGCAGTCAAGCTTTTAACCAGTGCCCCACCAGGGCTCCAGAGAATAAAGTAAGAAGGTTATAAGTTTCATAAGAATTCCAGAAAGAGATGAGAGAGTAATTGGGCAAAGGTGAGACTTGAAAAGAGAATGGCTTAGATTTTCCATAACAAGTGAGATGCCAGTCCACAGATTTAAGAAGATCAATGAAGGTGCAAAGTAGAATTAAAAAAAAGAAAAAAAAAAAGAAATTCAAACCTAGATAGATGAAGATGAAACTACAGAAAACTAAAGGCAAAGAGAAAAATTTAAAAGCAGCTAGAGAAAAAAGATTATCTTCAAAGGCGCAATAGACTATTGACATCTCATCAAATACTATTCTGATCATGTTATTCTACGCTTAAAATCTCCAATGGCTCCCCACCTCCAAAATATAAAGTACATTCTCTTCTGCACATCACATGTGGCCTTTCTTGATCTGGTCCCTGCCATGTGTTTAGGCACATAGAGCCTTCCTCCCTTTCAGATTACTCTTGATTGTATGCCTTCACATATGCTGTTTCCTTTTTGGAATGCTCCCCATCCCCATCCACCCAGCTGGCTCCTACTCAGCCTTCCCATTTTCAGCCCACGGTTAGCTGCTCTGTCAAACTCTACTCGACCCCCTTCTCATTGTCCTTGGGCATGCTGCTTGCCAGCAATCTCTGGCATCATGGGCTTTAAATATTTGTTTTCATTTTTATCTCATTTCTATCACATGAGCTGTCTGAGGACACCTAAATATTATCTTAACGTAGGTCTCCAGTGGCTCTTCCCATAATGCTTTGATTCTTGCTTTCGTGGAAAACAGGCCACTGCAGGCAGCACCAGGATCCCTGCACGCTCTCGTTGACTGGCTGTGAGATTCAAGTTAAGTGACTCTTCCTCTTCATGACCTGTTTCCTCTGTGAAACTGAAATAACAATACACGCTTTACTCATAGTATAACCTTGTGGTGCGGGTCAAATGAGGTTATGTCAGTGAATTTGCTTTGAACACTGTGACACCAGACAGTTTCATTCGGCAGTGTTAGATTCATTTCCAAGTGGGAGACTCTTGGGGGCTGGAGATTTTGTGAAGAAGGGAACTCATTGGTGCCCCTCAAGACTGCCCCCTGAGCCTTGGCCCTGGCAGGAGCCAGATGTGGGGGTGCTAGAATGATTGTCAGCATTCGACCATGCCTGGCAGGCTTGCACTGTAGCAAAATATTATTCACAGCGAAGCTTACCTGCGCCTGGTAGGACTTAGGTCATCATGTCTACATTTCATTGAGGTGGGGCCCATAATTCTGGTTGGTTCATTTTGAGAGATCTGAACGGGACATATTTTCATTTACAAATGTGTGTTCCGGTTTTCATTGAGTTCTTGTTGGAAATTGGAAATTTCCATGACCATTCAGAGATGGAAAAGACTTGGGTTTGTCAGAGTTTGTCATTCTTTTAATTGAATAGATTGAAACACACTTTTGAGCCCATTTCCTTGCTTCTTCCTCCTTATTGCCCCCACTAGTCTCACAGTCTAAGCCTCCGAAAAATTTTCAGCACATTCGTAATGTGTTAAGAGTTATCAGACTTGTCGGCAGTCAGTCTGTTGTGTTTATGTAAGATGGCCAAATCAGAATAATTTTTCTTAGCAAATAAGGTATTAGGTTTTACTTGTTGGATGTAAGTGGCAATGCCAGCTTCATCAGACCATGACATTTTACTTCTTAACGGTAGAACGGAAGTTTCCAATCATCTATAGAAAGAGAGGGGGATTTCACTGGACTTTTCTTTCTAGAATGTTTCTCAGGGAATATAACGAACAGTTGTTTATTTTAGTATCATGTCTAATTTTCAGAAAATTCTTGCTTTTAGATGAAGAATTTGGTAGTCGCTAGCTTCTAGAATTATTTTAACTAGAGGGGATCAGCTCTGCTTCAGTGTGGTAAAACTGAAGACTGGGACACAAAATCTTTCCTCCCGTTGAAGAGCACCAGTAACTATTCTAGTCATTCATCATGGAGTTTTATTACTCTGTCAAAACATTCTTCCTGATATGCAGTCAAAAGCATCTGTAATTTAAGCCCATTTTTTTCATGTTGTCTTCCTAGTGATGAAGACATACCGAGCAGCTTCCTTCTCAGAAATCTCTCTCTGATCTTGTCTCTGTTCACCCTCCTTCCCATTATCTTCATTGACGTTCTGATTAGGTCTCGCCTAGACTGTGACCCCAGCTTTCTGAGAACTTTACTGCTATTGTGTCTCCACTCCAGTGTGCTACCGAATCCATAGCCCTCAAATATAGATGTGATATATAACTCTTGAGAGAAAAATTCCCCTGGCCTTTGTAAGGCCTTACAAGATAGTGTCCAAGCCTGTCAGTTTATCATCTGGACCTGTATGTTAGAAAGTAGGTTCTGCTGAGAATAGCATTAAATCCTAAAATGTCAATGGCTTAAGCAAGAAGGATGTTTATTTCTATCTCACATAAGAGAGATAGGCAGGCAGGACTTACAGGATAGCTCTGCAGTTTGCAGGCTCATTCTGTCATGCTTCTCTGCGTAGTAGAAAGCACCCTTGGCCTCTAGCTTCATGGCCCAAGATGAATGCTTGAGGTCCAGCAGTCACATCCACCTTCCAGCCAGCAGGAAGGAGGAAAGAGGAGAGGCTGGGCCTCCTCCCTTTAAGAACATTTCCTGGAAGTCGCTCCCAACACTTTCATTTGCATCTTATTGGCTAAGACACAGGCCACTCCTAGTTGCAAGAAGACTGAGGTAGTCTTTTAGCTAGAACTCTGGTTTTCACCTTCTCCTCTAGTCTTTCCTGTGCCAGTAAATGATGTCACCATCGACCTGGTTGTAGATGCCAGAAAGTTGGAAATAACCCTTTACTTCTCATGTCCAATAATCCTTAAGCTCTCATATTTAATTCCCACCAAGTCTATCAGTTCAACTCCAAATTTTATCTGCAATTGATCCTTGGAATTGCACCCCAGTGCCTGTATCATGGAGCTCTTCCGTCTTGCCTGGGCTCCTGCGGTGGCTCTTAACTGCTCTCCCTATAGCTTCTTTTAGCCTGCTCTCATCTCCCTTGGGTAGTGGCACTTCCTTGCACAAAATCTTTTGCCAACCTCCCATTGTAGTTAGGTTTAAATTCAGAATTTTTATCATGCCCTGCATGGCCCCACCTGGCTTGACTTGGGTCTACCTCTTGGTCTCATGTCCTGCCAGTCTCGTTCTTGCTCACTGCACTCTGGCCACATGATTTTCTTTCTGTTCCTTGATTTTGCCAAGAACATCCTACCTCTTTTCTTCCTACATGCCATTTCCCACCCCAGATCCTTTGTCCCCTTCTTCGCTCCTACACACACCAGAGTCCTAAATGTTGCTTACGCAGAAGCCTTCCCTGACCTCTAATCTAAATCTTGTGTGTTCTTTCCCTGCCTCGTTGAGGCTGTTCTTTCCACCTCGGCATTCATCACAATTTATAATTTCATATTAATCCGTTATTTAATCTTGTTCCCACATTAGACTCTGTTCCATGAGGACAGGGACTGTATTTCTTTTCATCACCCCTGAATCCTCAATGCCCAGAGCTCAGTAAGTACATGAGGAGTAAACAAATAAATGATCTTGTGATTCAGCCATCTGTGATTAAATAATGTGCTGGATTCCCTTATTAAACGGACAGCTTTGTTGCTCAGGATGGTAAGACATAGTTGTTGGAAACCCATTGAGGTGATTCACCTTTCCAACCTGGTGCTGTGTTTCTTCACATTCATTGACCACACCTCTGATTCTCACTTGTAAGGCTATAAACTTCCGTGTAATTTATTAGGATACATCTTTGTCTGAACAAAGCCTTATTTCTGCCAGGGTTTCCTTATGAGCTCAGAACATGAGAAAAATCATGTTCAGGTGTGAGATCTGAAAATCACGGTTGGGCTCACTTCCTTGGCTTGCCTTTTTTTTTTGGCTGTAGCCTGTCATAAACTTCGGAACAGAAGACTGGCTTGTTGTTGGGCTGGAATCTGAAGCAAGTCATCGAAGGTGGCATCATCAGTGGTCGTCTCAGAAAGGTGCCTGTGTGGGCTCGGGCTGCCTCTGGCAAACCAGCCCTCACTACCGTCTTGAGGTCAACAGCGCACATATCGGGTATCTAAGTAGGGTGTACTTGTTCATGACAATTCCAGCCTCCTGTTCTCTCCTTGGAGCCCTGGTGGCATAGTGGTTAAGTGCTATGGCTGTTAACCAAAAGGTCAGCAGTTCAAATCCACAGGCTGCTCCTTGGAAACCCTATGGGGCAGTTCTACTCTGTCCTGTAGTGTCACTTTGAGTCAGAATGGGTATTCTTTCCTTAATTACTTTGTTCTGGAGAACATCTTGGCACAGGATGCTATAGAGTAGATCGACAATGTATGTGGGTTTTTTTTCTCCCTAAGATTGTAAAAGATGTTCTAGAAGCATCTGATGATTTTGGAATCCTGAACATGTCTAAAATAAAAGATTTTACTTTTGGACAGATAGGGTGATTGAGGATGGGAAAGTTTTTGTTTTTTTTTTTTCTTTTTGGAAAACCGTGAGAATTCTGCTTTCAGTGGGCACTTTGGTAGGTAAATGATTTCAGCATAGATGGAAAAGCAAGCAGTTGATCATTCTTAAGCCCCAGTAGGTTAGATCGTGTCAGTGTTTCTAGAATACGCCCAGAATGGTAAAAGTTGGCTTTAAGCTGAGCCTTTGCTAAGAGGTAGCCAGTCCTGAAAGGATTTATTTATTTATTTTGGCCTTTGGTAATGTTTAAATGATGATAAGTTTAAGTCTCACTTAGCTATCTGGAGTGGGTCCCACATGAATTGGTTGTGGCCCTTAGAATCCAGAAACTCCAATGTAGTTGGATGAGTTTTTTTTTTTTTTTTTGATGTGTGTGTGTGGGGAATCTAATGTAACAAAAGAAAATACAAAATATTAAACGTTCAGAAGTGTGTAATTTGCTGCTTGTGTACTTGAGGGTTTTTAATACCTCTGGTATGGAGCCTAACTGCCTCTTTACTGGGGAGATGTGGTTTCCGTTTCTTGGGTGAATGTGCATTTTATAAGTTTTTTTAAAAAGGAAATTAAACATTAAAATACTTTAAGTACTTTACTCTTTATATAATGTCACTAAGAAAAGCCAGGAAAATCAGGGTTGGGGTTTTTTTTTTTTTTTTTTTTTAATTAAATTTATTTACCACCATTTTGTTTGTAATGGCTAGTTCCAAAGTACTTTAAAAGTTAACATTTGATTTTGTTTTTATTTCAGCAGATGTGCATAATAAATTACCTATCTCTATTCTTCACTGTGGCCTGGGGCAGTGTTTAATAACATCGAGTGTTTTGGCATTTTATCACACAGATGATTTAGTTTAATTCAACATGGCTTCGTGCTCTCCATTTGTATGATGCTTATTAGCATAAGCAAAATGTTAACTAGATAAAACGTGGCCTGCGGAGGCTAAATGCTCATTGTGAGCATTAATGCAAGTACGTGATATGATTGACCTTAGCCCCTTTACTTAGTTGCCATGGGCCCGGGTTTCCTGTTCTGTAAAATGAGTAGTTTAGGGTAAATGGGATCCAAGAATCCTTCCAGCTCTGTATGCCTAATGGATATGTCTAACGAATTCCTCCTCTTCTCTCTCTCTCTCTGTTTTCTCTCTTTAATTTAGGAAGAGAGAATGCTGGGGCACCAATTACAAAGGAGGAGGATGCCTTCACATCACAAGATTCAAGAGCTTCCCCTGAGAAGTCACTGCAAAAATCAGCAAAGGTCATTGTCTGCAGATTTTCTCCGCTTGTCCAAGTGGCTGTCACCTGAGCTGCTTGTCCCAGGCCCCTCATGTGATGCAGTGAGGACTATAGGTGGTCAGTTGATTAGAAAAGTCGTTAGAAGCAGGGAATCATACAAAGTGTTTTTTTTCTTTTTATAACTTTAAACATATAAAGATGTATTCATTTGCCTGTCTTTGGATGAAGAGCCAGGACCATTTCTTTGAGTGTGAGTGTGTTGACTGGAGTTCTGCATTCTCTTTCTTGCTTAAACCACATTCAGAATATGGCATCTCTTGGTATTTAGAATGAAAATTTAGATACACTGGTGAAGCATTATGAATGTAGATAGCTCCTAGATTTTTACATTTTTTGGCTCTACTTCTTTTTTGATTGTTGTCATGTCCATTTATATTTCAAAAGTAAATTTTTAATAATAAATCTTCAAAATCTTTTTTCAAAACATTCAATTTGGTTATCACAGAAATTTCTTTTGCATTCCTGTTTTATTGTTTTGCATAATTCAACTTTATTTCTTAATAATACATGCTTCTGGCATATCCTGATATGGAATCAAACGGCTGACTCTAGCTACACAAATAGCTGAGGTGGAAGAAGTGATAGAAAGACGAAGTGTCCAGTGGCATCATTGCATGAGGCTCCGTGTACCATAGGCATCCGTCAGCGGGTTTAACCTGGGAATACAGTGTGGTCACTTTATCCAACTAGTTAAGAGAGTGTCTCCTGCATCTTGACATGAGGAATTTTTAAATTGTATTGCATGTATGTTATCCCAGTTGCTTGCCCAGTTATCTAGCTCTTTCAATAAGCAGTTTGGGTATTAACCTCATACCAGGCAACATGCTTGCTGGCTCACAGGCCTGTTTTATTTGACCTGTGCAGTATTTTAAAATTTTGACTTAGTAGATTACTTAAAAAACAAACAAACAAAAAAAAAAAACAGAAAACTTCTGCCTTTTCCTGTCAAAACAGAACACCTGGCAACACTGGGCCACATTTCTAAAGGACTTCTAGTCAGTCATGGCTGAGTAGAGGCAAACCTCTGCAGATGGAACATACGTTCTGTAACTTGCTGGTGCCCCAGTGGTGCCCTCTCTCTCATTTTCCCCTGACCCAT